ATCAAATACGATGGATGACCCAGATTAAAAGGGGATGAGTATAAATAACTCTCTTCACACCAAACCCGAACCCTAGCTGCCGGACGCCCTCGCCGGAGAAGAAGACCCGCCGCCGTATCGGAGTCCTTTCCGACTGTCAAAAGAGGTATAAAAAATTTTTTTGCTCGGAATTCAATTTTAAACACCCTCATAGCCAATTCGAAGCAAAAGAATCAGCTGATTGGCCGAAAACCGCGGGCAAAGCCCGACGGCGCCGTCGTGGAGAATTTCACAAAATACCTCAGATGAGGCCCTTCCCGATTCTCATTCGGTGTAATTTTTCTATAATTGTGATCACCATTTCCTTTCTCTATAGGTTGACTGAAACATAACACCAAACTGCAATGTAAGTCGGAGGTGCCGCCGCACTGGAGAGCCCCGCCGCCGGTGAGCTTTGATTTTTTATATTTTTTCGGCCAACCGAGTCCCCTTAACGTGTTTTCTCGCAGGGATCGATGCAAAATTTGCCGAAAATAACCGAACCGATGTGGACCCCAGGCGTGGGCAGTGGTATCGTCGCCGGAGCACAGCGGAGCTGTCGTGCTAGAATTCTAGAATTGGCCTAAATTGGAACCTGAGGCTGATTTTGGATTTTTCTGGGACATTTGTAGGTATTTATAGCGCGTTTTGATTCCCAAAGAAAAATTCGGGGAACTCGAGAACCGCTAGTCAACAGTTTAGTTTTTCGGACATTAAATTGAGTAAGAATCCCTCACCCTATCCTCTATTATGGAATTGATGTTTAATTTTAAATAATATGGTATTTCGTAAAACTTCAAAATATCTATAATTAATTACAGGTTATTAATGGAGTCAGAACCAAAAATTATTCTCTGTTGATTTATTTTACAGTTTAAATGCATGATAATATCTAATTTATCGATTTTATGGTTTGAATGCATGTATTGCTGCATTACGTGACTACTATTAAATTGAAAAACCGAGATACAATTGCATTAATTGATGCATGTTTGTTTGTTTAACTGATTACGGCTGATTTGGAAAATGGAGACTAAAGAAAAACGAAAAAATTGTGTGATTAAGTGAACGAATAAAACAGTAGTCTTACTGGATATCTTATGAGATGTGGACGGATTGGGTACAATAGGGAACTCTACCGTGAACATTGTCTCATACCGGATGGGGTATCGAGACTTGATAGTTTGGTGCTCATATCGTACGGGATATGGGGACTGCCCGTTTCACCCTCATACCGGACGAGGTATTGAAATTTAGTGGTTTTGGCGCTCATACCGAATGGGGTATGGGGACAGCCTTTTAATTGAGAATATTAAAGGAAATGGTTCATGCGTAGCGAAGACATCCCTATGAACCCCTATGGATACCAGTAGGCCGATAAAAGGAAAGGTTGTTGTTTGAATTATTGAATATGAATTTATAATGTGTGCCTGTTACCAATTGCATATGAAATCATGATAAGTGTTATGTTGTTGTCTTTATAGGTTGCTTTTATAAATCTCGCTATAGTAAGTGGATGGTAAATGACTTTATTATTAAGAAATGTATTTGTTTAATTAAGTGCTCTATTAATTGTTTTGATTTTCTACAAATATTAATTTCTGCATCAGTGAGTAGCGTGATATTCTTACTGGAATAGTGTAGCTCGTTCCTTATTTAACCATTTCAGATCAAGAGAAGCAGGATCTAGAATCCGATCCACAAGAGAGTTGCGAGTAGGATACCAGTTTTATTTATTTTCCGTTTATTTTCTTATTTTTTTATATTTCTTTCAAATGGTTAATTCTCGTAACACTATTTGGGACTTTAAGTTTATGTGTAAGAAATATACACCTTAACTATTTATTTTACTTTCGCATTTAAGTTATAATTTATTTCTTTGGACATTTTGGAGTCGTTACAGTAATAATGTAACTAACGAGTAGACAAAGAAATGACCTGCTAAGGTTTTGGCTATTTTTACTTGATACCAAAGTTGTAAAGATTGTTCATGCTGTCTAAGACATCCTGCAGATAGTAAAGCATGAAAGACTTTTGAATCTCGAGAATGAGAATCTTCTTCGATTTTTCATAACATAAAACTTAGATTAACAACTAATGGTTTTGATTCTTTTAAATTAACGAGTAATACATATAGTACTTGGTCATCGATCCCATTTAACTTGTCATCTTGGTTATACATGAGACAACAATCTTTTATTTCATTAATGATTATATTTAGATCAAATCTAAATTTTATCTGAATTTAATCCTAATGTGACAACTGTTTTTTTTTTTTATAAACTACCAATTTATTCAAATAACTATAAGTTATATAGAAATTTGATCTAAAATATTATCTATCTTTTCTTGAAGTTTGAATCTCTAAATTAATAAATTAGCTAGTTCAAAAACGTAATTTTATATAAAAGTAACACAAACTCTTTAACTATTTTTTTTAATGATGCAAAAATAACTTCAAATATTTAATATTTATAATTATTGTTGAATTAGAAAATTTCAAAAAATAATTTTTATAATTACCTCTCTCGTAATGTCTATTATTATTATTTACATACTTTAAACAAACCAATAAATTGTTGTTATTAAATTCATTAAAATTAATTGTTATCGTAACTTTTAAACGATATACGAATAAAATATTTGTAACATAATTTTTGTGTGTGGTCATATTCTGTTTAAATTTTTACATTATATGAAAAATTCCGAAATGACATGGTTTATAAACTTAGGACAAAAATTATAATAAAATTTTTTATATTTATTTTTATTATATAGTAAATATGACACCGTCAAAACGGTGAGTTTAACCCTTTTTAAAAGAATATTCCGCAATATTCTTCAAGTTGAATGAATATAGTTGACTTGAGTGCCATTTACATATTTTTTTTCCCATTTAATATATTATTTTTATTTTTTTATAAAGAAAAATCCTTAAATATTACTAAATAATTTATTAAACAAATAAAACGAATTAATTTGGATTAATAGACTCTTTCTTTAGATTAATTATTTTTAAATTTAATAAATAAAATTTTGTCAAAGTAGTATAATAATTACTTAAGAATTTAAAAAACAATTTATTCCCTCTAAAAAATAAATCATCATCTTGACGTATCTCCTTGGTAAAGCATCACGGAACTTTAACGCCTCTCCAAACGGCAACAGTGTTATTCATGGCTCCTTGCCACGTGGCATCGGCTTAGATTCAGACAGCCGCCAGCCGCCTTTCAGGGTACCTTTGTCTCGCCGTTAATTTGTCTGAAAGTCAAAAAATCAACGTCGCTTTCTTCGTTCTCATTAAAAAAAAAAAATTAAAAGAAAATTCACGAACTCTTACTTGGACCGAAGACCGCATCGATGAGTCTGAGTCGTCGTCTTCTTCATCTTCTTCTTCTTGCTCGTGATCTTCATTCACATTCACGCAGAGTCCTAACCAAACCCCAAAATCTCAAAACCTCATCTTTCATACTAGTCGAGGTTCTTTGCGGAGAATACGATCGAAATAATCCATGGCTGCAAACATTTACAGGCTGGACCCGAAGTCCGCCGCCGAGAAGGCGATTTCGGCGATCGGGTTCGGGTATGATATATGTAAGGATCTCCGTTTGTTGTCTTGCAAGCCTGGTCCGTCCGGCTCTAGGCTGATCGAGCTGGACCAGACCGGAACTCGTGACCTGGTTTTCCCTGGCGGAGTCATGGTAAAAAATGTATCCAGTTCGATCAAGTGCGATAAAGGCGAGCGCACTAGGTTTCGCTCTGACGTTCTATCTTTTCACCAGGTATTTGTTGATATTTATGTATTAACCCAGTTCCTTTTTTATTTCCTTTTTGGCATATATTTTGGCTATGTAAATCTCTGTTTGGTTTCCTTTTATGGGTTTAATGATGGGTTGTGTGAAGCAGTTGGAAATTGATCCTATACGTATATATAAAGTAAAAATTCTGGGTTTTTTTTTTCTTTTTTCTAAATTTGGTTTCATAAGATTAATTAGAGAAGGTTATGCGTCAAGAAGGTAAAGTATAATACTTTTTTGAGACGAGTCTTTGCTTTTCTCTCT